ATTTTTTTCGCTTAAAATAGGTGCATAACGTTTTCAACGTTATACTTTTAGGAGTATGGACCATCACCGCCGTTAAATTCAATCGTCATCTGGCATATGTCATGTTTATAGATTTTAAATTATTTTTTAAAAAGAACACTTGTAAATATTATTTTGAAAAAACCTTGATTTTTTAGAAATTTTAAAAAATCTCTAAATTCTTTAAAATTCTAATTTCAATCCTTTTACTACCGTCGATCGCAACCAACATCGATAACCGACCAAAATTCCAACGGCAAGCGACTATCTGAGCACCCAAAGACCAAAACCCCCTACTCCAACCCCTAATTATAGCGATAATCGACGCCCTTTCGACCACTCGTGAAATCTTGCATTTACATGGCCGTTGGGTGATTGGTCGATCGCGAAAGTAAGGGATTTCGCCTGGCCAATCACACAACGTTGGGTGTTCATTTGATTGGCGACGTTAATGGGGGTTGGCGATGCTAAAGGATTGAAATTATTGTTTTAAGAGATTTTGGAGTTTTCTTTGTAATTTTATTTTATAAAATTTTGGGTTTTTTCATTAAAAAATTATAATTCTAAGTTTTTTTAATTTAAATAAAAATGTTAAAATTTTATAAAGACAATCCATGTTAGTTAACAGCTGAATTTAACGGCAGTTATAGTTCAAAACGTTAGACACATATTTTGAGCGAAAAATTCTTTAGACACCTAAAGTTAATTTTAGGTATAGTTCGAATACTTATTTTTATATTAAAAAAAGTTAAAGTCGAATGATTAACAAAGCAAATTGATGCAATCATTCATGGTATGAAACATTAACCAATTAAGTAATAATTTAGTAAACGATTACCTAATCATTATTAGTTAGGCCGTTCGGAACAAATGTGCAAAAGGCAAGGCTGAAGATTGGGAAATTAAATAAATTCTAAACCAAAATTGGGGACCATTATGATGAATATAATTCAATAAAATTTTAACAGTCAAAGAAGATTTTTGAAAGTTGTAAATGAAAAAATAAGCTTTGTTTCATATAATGGGTTTTATCTTATTTATTTATTCTCCTTCTTTCTGCATAATGAAATGACAATTTTGCTCTGATCTAGCCAATTATGACCACCCATTTCTCTTCTGATTGAAAAGCTTAAGCATGTTAATTTTTTGGTAAAGTACATAAATAGTCCCTCAATTATATGTTATTGCTTTTTTGTGTCTCGCAACTATCAAAATTTATAAAATGATCCTTTAATTATAGGGTATTATTCAGTTGAGTCCTCGACTATTAAAAGTTAAAAAATAGTCATTTGACTATTCATATGTTCCAATAGTGTCCTTTTCCATTAAACAATTAACGGTCATCTGAGCGATACGTTAACCTGTTGACTGAGATATGATAAAATCTGATACCAGAATCTTTTGAGATTATGGGATAATATTTTATCATATTTCAGTCAGTAGATTAAAGTCTAGCTTAGAAGATCATCAACTTTTTAACCAAAAATGACAAGTTTAGAACATATGAATAGTCGGTGACCATTCTATAACTTTTAATAATCTGGGGACTCAACAAAGTATCACCTTATGTTGGAGGATTATTTTGTAACTTTTGATAGTTGAGGGACTCAAAAAAGTAAAGTCCTATAGTATAGGGACCATTTGTGTAATTTACCCTTAATTTTTATATAGGCGCTGATTAACAATAATTTGAAGTGTCTTGGGTGTATAGAGGCACATGCATATGGCCTCTCCCACAATATTTAAACTAAATCAGAAAAAGGGATGGGCATGAAAGTAAGAAAAGGAAGTTGGCCTAAGATTTTAGTGGATTCATTAATAAAGTAACAAAATATTTTTTTGTGAATTGAATCTCACATGAAAACACGAACCATTTCTACCGGCTCAATCACTCATGCGTGGGGACTTCAGTCTATATAATATTCATTGGAGTTCTAATATGGAATTGAAACAACTAATGTGCACAATAATTAAATATATCATATCAAGAATTTCTGCCTATATTTTTTTTATAATAACTAATATCTGATTTATTGACTGATTAATCTAAATCAGATATTGCAAAAGCGAAGACGATTCTCCCAACCCAGTTTGATCCATTCGCAAATACCAATAATCAAACCCTGACTTTGCTCAAAAAATTTAATACCTCATTCAATTAGATAAACTGGTTGTCGATAATACAATATTATTTTCTTTTTAATTTTGCAATGATTACCCTATCAACGTACCTATAATTGTAACCAAAACTTTTTCATTGGGAGGTGTTGAAAGAAATTTCAATATATATATATATATATATATATATATATATATATATATATATATATATATATATATATATATATATGGGAAATATAAGATAGTATATGTTCAAAGAATCATAATATTTTGACAGTGATCACTCATACCCCTGCATAAGTGGTGCTTGAACTTTAAACCTCAAGAAATAATAAAAAATTCCTTAACCCGAACATCAAAGAATTTTCAATTATTTTTAAACAAATTTCTGAAGTTTAATTCATATATTTGACTAAACTATTAATTATTAGTATTAGTTTTATGAAATTTTATATATTTGGTATTTTATTAAATGTCTTGATGATTTACAAAATTAGAAACATTTTAAACGAAGACAAATTAAAACAAAACATTTGTATATAGATTCTCACTCAAAATGTTTGCATAATGAAAATTTCGACCAAGAAGAAGAGGAAGTTTCCCAAATTTTTTTACTCTTTTAAAAAATAAACAATCATGTCCGCAAGATTATACATGGGCAATCAAATCATCTATAATTATACAATCCAAGTGACTTTAGTGGTTAAGAGATTTATTGTTATCTCTTGAGGTCTCGGGTTTAAGTGTGTTACGTTTACAGGGGTATGAACCTTTATTAGTAAAATATTGAGTTTTTAAACATATATTATCTTATATTCACCCTAAAATTTTTAAAATAAATAAATAAATAAATTATTTGTACCTGAATTTTTATTTTTGGCAAAGTGACATTATTAGGTTATATAAAATGATTTCTGAATTTGTTACGTTTGTCAAATTAGCCCGTAAACTTTCTTTCAGAATTAAATTGATCCTTAAATTTGATGAAATAAATCTTTAAACTTTGTGGTCAAATTAATCCTTAAGTTTATAAGCTATTAATAAAAGTTTAAAGTTAATTTGATCAAAATTGTAAAAATCAAGAGTCAATTGATTAAACTTGACAAATTAAAAGATTTAGTTTAAAAAATATTAATAACTTGATCAAATTTATCAATTTCAGTGATAGCTCAAAATTTGTACTGAGAGGGACAAATATAAGCTTTTCTCGTTGGCATGGTATATATATATATATTTATATAATCATCGGTATATGATCTATTGATTAATTAATCCAGATATAGTACTGCAACGATAAGGGCGACCATCCCAACTCAAATTACTCAATTCGTTAACGTCAAGATTCGAACCCGTGATCTTGTTTAAGTGATTTAATGCCTCATCTCATTAGACCACCTAATGGTTGATTTTTATTTATTCCTTATGTTTTCTAATTAAATGGGAAATGGTCTTACGTCATCTGTGTGCCTTTTTTTTATTTTTTTATCTAACTTGGAATTAACCACTAAGGTTTTTGAACATTAACTGCAGAGAATTTTTTTAAACAATTTTTATTTAAGAAAGGGAATGGGGAAATTTACTTCAGTGAATATTGAAGCTACAATTTAGGGGAAAAGAAATGTTAACAGAGAGTTTTTAAACATTTACTCTAGATATTATTAATAGAAATTTTTTACTTTAGATGTTACTTTAATACGAGAATAGTATTTTAAACGGGACATTTAAAGAATAGTCCGCGTTATATTTTGGTCAAACTAATTAGTTTTAATAATAAAATAAGTAATTTTTTAATAATAATAATAATAATAAAATATGTAAAAAGTAATAAAAACTAAAATGTGTATTACTAATCTAATTTTGATTAATAAGACATTTTTTGTCAAACCTCACCATTCGAAATTTATCTCGGCAAAATTTATTTTATGTTATTCATATCTAACTTGATTCATTTACGGCTCTATTTTTTATATTTTTAATTTATATTATAATATTTTAATTATTAAATTTTATATTTAATTCATGTATAGATTATGTTAAATTTTGAATAAATTAAAAATATTAAACTATTTATTTTATATAAAAATTCAATCATTAAATATATATTAATAAATATATTATTTTAGATTATCATGAAGAATTATTGGATTAATTAAAATATTATATAATAATATAATCATATTGATAAATATATCAATTGAGTTATTAATTCTATTTGGCTTAAGATTTATTTACATAATATAAAATTCTTTTAGTTTTACACATATTTAGGACCGTTGGATGATTGAAAATATATGATTGAGATTAACTCCTTATTTTTTTTTCAATGAACATTTTCTCATTTACTATTGTTAATCTCAACCATCTAACGGTCTTAAATTTGTGTAAAATTAAAAGAATTTGACATTCGATAATTGGATCCTATCAAAAATAGGATAAATCATTAAAAATGTCATAATGCCAAAATTAGCCCCCAATCTCTATCAAAATTGTCATTTTGCCTCCTATTCTATTTTTTGGAGAATTTTGCCCCCTCAACGTTTCATTTTAGGGGAAAAGAGTCCCTAACATTTGACAGAATAATCACTTTGTCTCTTTTTTTATTGGCCATTTTAGCCCTCAATGTTTCATTTTAGGTTAAAAGATGCTCCTATTTTGGAGCATTAATCGTATGTTAACTAATAGTTTTCATCTATAGAGGGAGTTTTTGCCCCAAAGTGAAACGTTGTGCGCCAAAATGCTTAAAAAAAGTAGGGGTCAAAATGACTATTTTCGTAAACATTGGGGACTATTTTTGGCATTATGCCTATATGAATGTAATGTATATATATAGAGAGAGGGTTTGAAGAAGAGGATGATGATCCATGATGGATAGTTCATTATTTATCACTGTATTCGGTACTGTAATATTAGTTTGCATCACGTTTCTGATCTGTAGCAAAAGCAAGCTTTTAAGGAGTCTAAGATCAATAATACCGTCGTCAAAAAACACATACCAAAAACTTCCTTTAGGTTCTCTGGGATGGCCTCTTCTTGGGGAAACCATTCACTTCATCTCTTGCGCTTACTCGGATCGCCCTGAGAGCTTCATGGACCGCCGTCGCCGCATGTAAACCTTTATCTATATATTGTTTGATGAATATCTGGCTAGAGGACGACTAGGGTTTCTTACTTTCGAAGGTGAATATTTTTTGTTTGCAGGTATGGTAAAGTGTTTAAGTCACACATATTTGGAACTCGAACTATTGTTTCCACAGATTCGGAAGTGAATCGAATTGTACTACAAAGTGATGCACAGGCTTTCGTCCCGTTTTATCCGAAATCCTTGACGGAGTTGATGGGAAAATCCTCCATTCTGCTAATCAATGGCGGCTTACAAAGGAAAATCCATGGCCTTGTAGGAGCCTTCTTCAAATCTCCACTCCTCAAACATCAGATCACAAAAGACATGCAAAATTATGTCCAACTATCAATGGATAAATGGAGAGAAGATCAACCCATTTACATTCAAGATGAGACCAAAACTGTTAGTGGAGTCCCCTTCATTAGTTTCTCTCTTTTATAGTTTGAATTTTATTCTCTTGCGTATACTTAAGATCATGGGGTTTACAATAGTTTTGAGGGCTTCCACGCCCAGATTGTACAATGAGACATATTATTTCTTGAATTAGGGTCATTGTTACAATATCAAAGAAAAGAGGGAAAGAGGTCGGAAACACCACGCGACTCCAATTTTTCGATGGAAGACGCATGGATTGTCATGCATCTTCACCTTTGTTGAGAAAAAAAATATGGTTGATGATGAGGAAGATGCGCTGTGATCCTTGCGTCTTCCTCATAAAAGTTAAAGTCGCGCGGTGTTCTCGACATCTTCCCTTAACACTGCAACAATGATTCTAGTTTAGAAAATAATATGGTGAGAGCTACGGGAAAATCTTTCTTCCCACTACCCTACATGATCCATTTTCCCTAGTTTTGAGTGTATCATTTTGTGCCAGAAATTTGCTTCATCAAAATGACTGTTTTGGATAATTAATTCTTTTGAAAATGTGCTAAGATAAATACGTTTTTTCATTTAAAAAAATCCCAGATTACCTTTCAAGTTCTCATCAAGGCATTGATTAATATGAATCCAAGTCCGGAAATGGAAATTCTCAAGAAACAGTTCCAAGAATTCATGTTAGGCCTTATGTCTTTGCCTGTTAAAGTACCCGGAACTCAACTTTATCGATCCTTGCAGGTAAGTTCTGTTTTCAAATATAATTGTTTTATATTTTCATGTTCTTTATAGCTATATCTCTATGTGTTGTAACGAGTTCAGGCAAAGAAAGGAATGGTTAAGATTGTAGGCATCATTATCCAATCAAGAAGGAATGCAATTGCAGGAAATACCTTCACAGTTCCAAAAGATGCAGTAGACGTTTTGCTTAAGGATGGCAGTGAGCTATTAACAGATGATCTGATAGCAGATAACATGATCGATATGATGATTCCTGGTGAAGACTCGGTGCCTGTTTTAATTACTCTTGCAATCAAGTACCTTTCTGATTGTCCCGCTGCTCTTCATCAGTTGACGGTATTAGGCCTTTTTCCCATGTTACTTCCGATCTCCAACAAATTTACGCTTCCAATGTTAATTTGAGTAACATGTTTTTTATATTTTCAGTTAGGTCTTTGTTCATACAATAGTAGGTAAACTGCATCAGATACTAATAAACTTTAGGCGTTGTGAGATTTATTACAACTGAACTTTTAATTTTGACAATTATAGCACTGAGCTTTGATTTCTGTTTCAATTATACCACTGAATCGTTAAATCGTTAACAACATGATGACATGGCTGACGGCTGCCAACATAGACACCTCACCAAAGCGATTTCGTTTTGATCCGACTGTTAATGATTTAACGGTCTAGTGATATAATTAAAACGAAAATTAAATTTTAATGCTATAATTGAAAAAAATAAAAAAAATAATGGTATAAACGATACAACACCGGAAGTTAGGTGGTGTCTGATGTAGTTTACCCTACAATATATAGAGAACAACAATACAAATTTAGTGTGATTCGATTCCTCTAACCAACGTTTACAAACCAAAAATAAATAAATTATTAGATTAAATAACATATAACATTTGTGAGGGAAAACTATAAATCATTCTCGCAAGTATCACCATGCAGAAAAACATATATATAACATCTCTCAAATATATACATTTGCTTTCAACTTAATTATAAATACTAAGAAACTTTCTATGCACATGTCTATTATTTTCTCACAAATATTCTTCTATCTCCTAAAATTTCTCAACAAATGTAAATATATTGAATAGTCTGAGGTAGTTATAGGACTATCTGTTTAGATTCACTTTTAATCATTAACAACATACATACACCTTGCAGAACTTATATGCTTGTAAACTCTCCTTTAGATTGTTGTAGCGTAGATTTTGTACAATTGGTTTGAGATCTTTTGATCGGTTGTGAGTTCTTTATTTCCTGATTGTATTTACTATTTTCCTCCATTTAGGATTAGGGAGATTTTTAATAAGGCATACAGTCCATATTTGTTCTCTTTTAATAAAATTATCTTGCCGAGAAAAGAAAAATTCTAACTTTTGCATAGTAATTGTTGACATGTTTGTTGTATTTTCTATTTATAATTTAGCTTTGATGGTGAACTTTGAAATTTTCTTAGGAGGAAAACATGAAGTTGAAAATGCTCAAAGATAACAAGGGAGAGCCATTGATTTGGAGTGATTACTTGTCATTACCTTTCACACAAAATGTAAGTATAAAACTTAGAATTTAAACTCATAATCATTTGGGTATATTAATTTTATCAGAAGAGTTGAATCTTATACTCAGAGATAGACCGAGAAAGATGAGTGGGAGTAATCACCCTCTGAAAATTTAAAATTATCTTATATTTTAGATTTTTTTCTATATATTTTCTATTGAAAATATGTTTTCGCCTTCTTAGAATTTTATAATTCATCCCTTAACATAAAATTATGCGTCCATCCTTAATACCAAACATAGATATTATTTTTTTCAAATATAGCTTCAAGTGCTTACATTAATCTATGACTAGCAGGTTATTACAGAGACATTAAGGATGGGAAACATAATAATAGGGGTGATGAGAAAGGCCATGAGAGACATTGAGATAAAAGACTACTTAATACCAAAAGGATGGTGTTTTTTGGCTTATTTTAGATCAGTTCATCTTGATAAAAATCACTATGATTTACCTTATCAGTTTAACCCATGGAGGTGGCAAGTAAGATCAATCATTAGACCTTTTTAATGTTTAATTTCCTTTGTATGTTTTAAATTAATTAATTAAAATGTGGGCAGGACAAAGACATGATTAACAGCTACAATTTCACTCCATTTGGCGGTGGACAAAGGCTCTGCCCTGGACTTGACTTGGCCAAGCTCGAAGTTTCCATTTTCTTACATCATTTTGTCACCAATTTCAGGTAATACAATCATATTATATATACTCCTGTAAATTTTACATGCACAAATTCTTTTAAGTTAGAGGTTTCGAATTTTAGTAGTTACTTTTACAGTATATGTATGCATAGTTAATAATAATTTTTTTTAAACATATACTATAGTACCTTATAATTACTCCGGAACAATAAAAAGAAGGGTAAAGTATACAAATGATTCCCCGATTATAGGATATTACTTTATTGAGTCCTCTGACTATTAGAAGTTACAAAATGGTCACTCAATTATTCATTATTTCCAAACGTCATTTTTTCATTAAAAATTAACAGTAGTTTGAGCAAGATATTAACCTGTTGACTAAGATATGATAAAATCTGATCTCATAATCTCAAATGATTATTACATCTCAGTCAGCATGTTAACGTCAAACTCAGACGATTGTTAATTTTTAATAGAAAATGATGATTTTGGAACATAATAAATAATCGGGTGACCATTATTATAACTTTTAATAGTCATGAGACTCAACAAAGTAGTATACTATAGCCGGGGATCGTTTATGTACTTTACCCTAAAAGGAAATTCTATTCGTAAAACTGTATCGGATAAGCTCGGCTATAAAAACTAAGTTCTTTTTTTTTTAATCATATACAAATATATTAAGAACTAAATGGCAAACTAAAAAATTTCTCCGAACTAACGTTTACATGCAGATGGGTGGCCGAGAATGACACAATTGTCAACTTCCCAACAGTACGGATGAAGTCGAGAATGCCAGTTTGGGTCAAAAGAAGGCAAGACTAAGAAAACCCTAAACCTAAATTCAAGCAGATTTAGATAACTTAATAACAATGTTAAAGAAAACAAAACCGAACTTATTAAATATGTTAACATGTAATAGTGGCAAGTTAACATGTCTGTCATCCGTTTACCACATAGGTTTATTACATATGTTGAGACATTAGTAATAGAATTAGTAGTTTTCCCCCAATGATAACCCATAAATTATCCCTTAATTTTGTATTAGTTCTCTTTCCTTCTTTCATTACTAATATGCTAGACTTTGCCATATCTATGATGTGAGTGAAATAAGATATTTTATATAAAATATTTTATATATAAATAAAAACTTATTTAATGAAATCTTATATGTGAAATTATAAATGATTTGTATATAGTTTCATTTATAGAAACTCGTGAAAAGAGCTTTGGCGTGCTTCACCTTTATGGTGATTTAACATTACGAATTTTTATCTATGGACGGAGCCAAAACTGAATATTGAAAGGGATCGCAATATTGGATTATTTAAGAAAAATATAAAGACTTATTAGATATTTAAACTTAAAATTCAATATGAACCAAGTGACCTTAGTAATTAAATGATTGTTGTTATCCTTTAGGTCTCAAGTTTGAACACTCATATGTAGGGGTATGAGCGTTTATTATTAAATAGTTGAAAGTCTTTGTACATATATTACCTTGTATTCACCATAGATTAAAAAAACTTAAAATTCACAATATAACACCTAATTTGTCTAATATTTAAACTTACAATGACCTAAATTGTTATTAGACCAAAAATTTTGATAATACAATGTTATCATTCTTTAGTTCGATCCTTACTTGATTAAATATTTAATAAATTCTTAAATTTTGTAATTTAAATATTTATTTTTACATGAACCAAAATACTATTAAATCAAAATAAATTATATCGAATATACAGATTTTGATAGGGGTCGGGTCCCCTTTGGGACCTCACTAAGCTTTGCCCCTGTTTCTATGGTTATTTTGGATTGAGGGTTTTTAGGGTAAAGAACATAAATAGTCCCTCGACTATAAAATATTGTTTTGTTGAGTCATCCGATTATTAAAAGTTATAAAATGGTCCCTTGATTATAGGACGTTACTTTGTTGAGTTCCTCGACTATTAAAAGTTACAAAATGGTCACCTAACTATTTAAATGTTTCAATATCATCCTTTTTCGTTAAAAAATTGATGTTCTTCTGAACTAGACGTTAACTTGTTGATTGGGATATGATAAAATATGATCTCCGAACCATTTGAGTTGTATTTTTTGACATTAGCTTGTTGAAGTCCAACTCAGATGGCTACTAATTTTCTAACGGAAAAGAACAAGTTTGAAACATATGAATATTCGGTGATCATTTTGTAACTTTTAATAGTCGAGGGACTTAACAATGCAACGACCTATATTCGGGGGACCATTTTGTAACTTGTAATAATTAGAGGACTCAACAAAACAACACTCTATAATCGAGAGACCATTTGTGTACTTTATGCAAGATCTTACTACCATTTTTGGGTTGTATGAAGGTTAAGGGGTTATTACAATGTTTTATTATCATTATTGTAAGATGTACGAAGGAGTCAACTAATGTTTGAGGTGGTTATTGGTTATGGTTTTGATTCTACTAGGGAATGTGTTTACTGTCCATATGTCATATAATTTTTTTATATAGGAGGTTCATGTAATGTTTTGAGTTGTACTGTGGGTTATTATCTCTAAACCTTTTGTAAGATTTTAATATAAATAATATTAACTTTAGTTGAGAAAAAAAATCTTGTGTTTGGTTTTTAATTCTTCTATTTAAAGTTTTTAAACATTCATGCTCCTTCGTGAGTTTTTATTAAAATGAACAAACACACCTTGGTTACATAGTTGACTAATATTGAGAAGGTTAGCTTTTAACAGATCAACTAGGAGGAGGGCATTCTTTATGTTTGACATTCCTCTTCCATTCATTATGCTTTTATCAATCACTCCCCCTTTTCCCATCAAAGTAACTGCCCTTTTGTTAATCAAGAAAGATCCTGTGAACATTTCTAATTATAGGTCAATTAGTCTAGTTGGGTTAATTTATAAGATATTTGTAAAAGTTCTGTCAATGAAACTTAGGGTGGTGATGGATCATCTTATTAGTGAGAGTCAATGCGCGTTCATGAAGGGTCGTCAAAATTTTGACGGTATTCTAATTGCAAATGAAATTATCCATTCCATGGGTGTTGATGGCAATAAGTCAGGGGGTCTAGTCTTGAAGTTGGATAATCTATTGCATATGATTGTGTGAGATGAGATTTTCTTGATATAGTGCAATGCAAGATGGGGTTTAGAAGCAATTAGAGGAGTTAGATAATGGAATGTGTTTCCTCGACAAGAGTTTCAGTTTTGGTGAATGGTTCGACAACTCAAGAATTTTAGACGCAAAAAGGATTGAGACAAGGGGATCCCTTGTCCCCTTTTCTCTTTATAATGGTTACTGAAATATTGAGTTTGCTACTGGTTAAAGCGAAGGCAAAAGGGGTTATCGTGGCATTGAAAGTATCTTACCGGATCAATCCTTAACGCATCTACAATTTGCGGATGATACAATTCTCTTTCTAAGGCTGAAGGAAGAGCTATAAGAAATGTGAAGTGCATACTAAGGTGTTTTGAAGCATGCTTAGGATTGAGTATAAATTTTGTTAAATCATGTTTGGTGGGTATTGGGGTGGATATAGATCAAGTTGAAAGTTTGACTTAAGTATGCAAGTGCCAAGTGGGAAAGTTACCTGTTACTTATCTCAGCATCCCTCTCGGTGCTGACCCTAGAAGAATAATGACTTGGGAACCGGTAGTGGACAGATTCTAAGAGAAATTAGCAGGATGGAAGAGTAAGTCATTATCTTTTACTGGCCAAGTAATCCTTATAAATTCAGTTCTATCCCCCTTACCCTTATATTGCATGCAAAGTATCAAATTGTGGTTGCGGATTTTGTTACGGATGCGGTCGCGGTGTCGCAGTTGCCGATGTTGCGAACGTTACGTAACGTATTGCGGCAATCGCGGGCGTGATCTCTTCTTCAAAAATCACAATACGTCTAAAAATATTATATTTATACATTTTACAGTTATCTTTTAATATACTAATATTAATATACTCTTTTAATATTTTATTTTGAAAATAAAAATTTAATTTCATAGATAAAAATTTATTAAAAACAAATATAAACTATAGAAGTGCTATCATACTGGATAATGGGTGATAACAATTATAATGTTAATGAATAACATATAAACAATATCACTAAAATCATATCAATTTTTTTATATTGTAACATAAAAATGTTCATTTTACATAACTTAGAAAGAAAGAAAAAAATACATAACTACAAAAATAAAAAATCTATATCTTATAGTTCACCACCAAAATGAATGGTGTGACGGATCTAAATTATTTTTATCTTCGTCATTGTCTTGCTTTTGATTCCTTCATATTCCATGTGAAAGACATCACATTATGTGCATCATAAGATGTATCATTGGTAGGAAACATGTATGATAAAATTTTATAGTTTCATTGTCAATAGATAAAATGCATATACTATTATAAATTGAATTCTCCTTTATACAAAATTTATATAATAATTAATTAAACATATAATTATGATACTTAATGTTAATATACAAATTTAATTTAAAATTAATCATATCAATTTTAGATATGAGAAAATTTTAATTTAATTTAAATTAATTTAATTTTAAAATAACGTTAATAAATATTTAAATTAATTCAAATTTAAGTAACTAATTTTAAACATAATTATTACAATATTATTAATGATATATATTTATACTATAGTTTTAAGAATTAAATTAGAACAATTCATCTATGTAATTTTATATTTCAAATAATTTAAAGTTTGTTGCGACGTTATGGCACAATTTATAACGCGTTGTGGTGTTACGTAACGGTTTTTGACCGCAACAATCATGATACGATTCCCTTATCGCGTTGCATCGATATTGCATCGCGGTAACCTTCAGAAGTGTTATGATGCGTGCGTTACACTGCGTTAGGGCCGCAATTTAGTACTATGATTACATGTCCATATTTGAGATCCCAAAAACAGTGTTGTCAAGGATTGAAAAAATTAGAAGAGGTTTTCTATGGGGATATGTAGATCGGAAAAGAAAAATGGCACGGGTAAGCTGGCATAAAGTTTGCCTGCCACGATCTAAAGGAGGAGCAGGTGTTGTTGACTTGAGAACAAAAAAAATAGTGCATTACTAGCAAAATGGGGATGCCGCTATGCTTTGGGGAAAAAAAGAACTTTGGAGATGGATAATCTGTTCAAAATACGGTGGGTTACCCAGAAGCTGGAGACTATGCGTTTTATACATGAGGAAAATTCTAATGCGTGGCGTGGAATTTTAAATATTTGGAAAAATGATTGTGTTGCTAAATGGTTAAGTGATGATGCTTTTCAATGGCAAGTTGGTGATGAGAAAGATATTTTTTTTACGCTTGGTGTGATCAATTACCCTTGTCTAAATTGTTTCCAAGATTGTATAGTTTGGTTCTTGAAAAAGTTGTAGCCTTATTCGATGTCGGGAAGCATGTTGAATTGAACAAAAGTCTCTGGGAGTCCTTAATCTTTAGATCACTACTAGAAAGAGAACATGATGGGATTAGGCAGACTGCAAAGTTTGTTGAAGATGTGTCTCTCATTCTTATTTCTTCAGATAGGTTAGTATGGATTCTTGACAATTCAGGTTACTATTCGGTTAAAAAAATTTATTAATTACAAGATTGGAATTGGGGGATTTACTTTTTAATTCAATCCAGTCTGGAAAAATGAAAGTTCACCCAAAAGTTAAAAGCTTCCTTTGGATACTTAAAATCGATACAGTACCAACGAAAGCTCTTCTTAGGAAAAAAATGTTTAATTCAGGAAGATTCCGATTTTTTTTTTTCTTGGTGCGGTTTGGGTTTAGAGGACGCATTTCACTTGTTTATGGGCTATGATATGGTATACGACTTTTGGAATTCTT